AAATATTCTTGATTTTAATGAGGGGTTTTGGTTATGAGCTGCGAGACATATGGTTTGCACTGATTACAAGTTCCATCTCGGAGAATACCTGTCATATATGCGTTGTTTGTTCTGGCATTGAAACTGAACAAAATGGCTTTTTATTTTTTCATCTGTTGAACCAAAATCGGGTACAACCTGAAATAATGATACGAAAGTATATGTGCAGATTTGTTTTTTTAGTTAATTTTGTTTCATTAGATACAGAATTGCTGTTGGAGAACTCATCAAAGCATTAACCGTGCACAATATATTGAACACATTTGAATGCAGTAAACTCTAAAGCAGCGTTGATGTTAAAGTGTAGTTGTAAGCATCATTTGATTGGTCTTGTGGTACGTTTTAAGGTAGCGTCATCTCTGTGTGTGTTTCTCCACGTCTGCTGAAAGGCAAACAGCTGTAAAGCTCAGATGCCGGCTGCTTTCGTCTCCTCCTGAGGATTAGTAACTAAACAGCTAAAGAAGCCTCTCGTAAGATGGTAACGCTACTGCGTCTGAAAGCACACTGCTGAAGGAACAAAATCATTTTGTGCGTCTCTGTTAATCTGAACACTATCTGGATATTTTAGGACCGAACACATAAAGAATGAATTTGAAAGCATGAAATCAATCCGTACGATTTAGTCACCCATCCTTAAAATGTTCTAGTCTCTTTTCCACACTGCAGAGGCACAATAAAATATTCTTGGCCTTAAAATAGTCATGTATAGAGGAAGGAGCATTACAAAAATGATTATTCCTTGTCACGGGCTGTAGCCTGTGTGTATGTTATAATGTTGTTTGCTTATATGTTATTTTATTCATCAGCTACTGTATGTTTGAATGAATGTACACTTCCGTTCAAAAGATTGCGGCTGAGCCGCGTCACCAAATGGCTGGTTTCTAACGCGACTAACGTAACTCTTATATTGGTCACGAGCCTCTTTCTCTCTTTATATTACTCAACTCCTGTAAAAGGTCTATCTTTATAGATTCAGGAGGAGTCAGGTAGGTGTATATTATATCCACAAGTTTCCTACGCCCCATGAGGCCTTGCGTCAAAAGTGGGCGCGTCTTCCGTTTCGAAGTAAACAAAGCGCGACTTGACATACTTCACACTCGTTCATTCAACAGTTGACAGTCATTCAAGTTATAGCGATCCAAACTAGCTAACGATGTGGGAACACAACCTCAACGAAATTCAAAAGGGTGAAATAACGTTACCTTTACCCTCCGCAGTTACTCGGGTGGGAGTATTATAATAACATTATTAATAATCAATACTCATCAAGGCATGGTGACAGACAGTTGTGTGAGCTGACAAACAATTAAAATAAAAAATACACACTTAGTCATTGTGCTTTGGACTTAATTCAAAATTATAAATGAATGTGCTGCTTGAATTCATTAACTGGCACATTTGGTATTCTGTCAACACAGGCTTTGATCCTGAGTTTAGGTGTAACATCAGTAGCGAACAGCCAAACACATGCTGAGAGAGTTTAGAGAATATTAAGAATTTAAACAAATGTACACAGGAAGATTCGTCGTCTTTTGGGAGGTGATGGAAACTACAGTCGTTGGCAGGATCACGTTTTCGGCTTATGTTCAAAACAATCACGTTTAAGCCACTGAATTAGTTTAGTCCGGTAATAGGTACAACCGCGAAACGGGACATGTTGTCCCTGAGCTCCGTAACGACATCTCTCATAAAGATTTGCGTCTTTAAATAGTAAAAAAATTCTCCGAAAAACAGCTAGCCTCTTCGCTAACTAACATACAAAATACCATTGGAATGCTACTTCCGCCGCCTCACCGGAAGTTTCACCCACTTTATTTTTTACAGGAGCGCCCCTCGGAAACTTGTGGATACTCTTCCTTGATTATATTATTTCAGGTTATCCTTCCGTTCAGTGCACCACAGCTGTCTTAGAGACTTTAAACCCCAATAAGTTGGCAAAACTCAAATAATTTGAGGTAATAATCAGATTACATCAAATTTTTAAGTTAAGAAATGTAACGTTTAAGTAAGGAGAACGTGATGATTTTTTTATGTTTTAATCAGACATTTTAATGGCTCTTAATGTGTTGTCTTGCACGTAGGCATGATGCTCTGAACAGCGCTAGCTGTGACCCAGCACAACATCTTCCCTGTACTCTCAGCTTGAGCGGGAAAGACATTGGCAGGCAAGACGCAGACCCTCGCTTTGGCTCCCAATCCCCCAAGTGTCTCTTCTTCCTCTCATCTTCTGTCTGTTTCTCCCGCCCAGCTGCAGAGCCAGAGATGGAGCTGTAGACCGCTCTATGCTAACACTACTTTATGTTTTACAAACATTTGTACATATTATAATCTGTATTATTAAACAATTAGTTCTAATTCAGATCTTCTAGAAGAGCTGTGATGTAAATCGTCTTGTTGAGTGCAACAGTGCCCGCCCCCTTGTTCCGCAAGTATTTTTCCATTCATTTTTCCCATAGGGATTTTTTTTTATTGAAGAGTTATAAGCACCAATCCAACCAGCTGAGGTGAATCGAAACGGAAGAGTTTTGGAAAATCTGCCAAAAAGACAAAGGTAGGCCTACAGGGCCGTGTACTTAACGACTGTAGCGAGGGAAAGAACTACAATCCCATGAAGCATTGCGAACATAATAATCAAATTGAAAACAATGGAAAAATCTCAAGCTACTCATTTACAAAATTTTTGAAGTATTTTGAGGGCGTAGAGACGATTACGTCATTCGCAGTGCTTCATGATTCGTGTAATTTTCTATACAGCATCATGGGTAATGTAGTTTTTCACTAGGAATTCCGCTGTTAAACACGATCATTTAAAAAATAAGCGTGTGGACATTGTACACTTGGTTTGTTTTTAAAGGTTTAAAAGTTATCGTTAAAAATCTATTTCTCTATGGAGAAAATGAGTGGAGTTTTTACTTTAAATCTGCTAAAAAGGCCTACAGAACCGTGTACTTAACGACTGTAGTGAGGGGAAGAACTACAATCCCATGAAGCGTTGCGAACAGCATAATCAAATTGAAATCTAAAGCTACTCATTTACAAATGTTGGTAATATTTATATAAAAACAACATATTAAGTTGCGGAAATATATAAAAATATTAGAAGTATTTTAGAGACGATTACATCATTCGCAGTGCTCCATGGGAGTGGGCGGAGCTAAAGAGGTATTTTGGCGCATGTTGCTTTTTCGACTGCTTCATGTAATTTTTTATACAGCATCATGGGTAATGTAGTTTTTCACCAGGAATTTTCACCACTGTTAAACTATCCTGGTAATACCAGACTCTGCTGCTTCACTTTGCTTCGTACACAGAGTCTGGAATGGCATAATAGAGAAGTGTTTTCTCTCTCGCTAGGGGGTGCTTCTCTGAAGTTTAAAATCATTGGTTACCCGTAAGCCAATCAGATACGTTTATTTATGACATATGTTATACGGCAACACAGCCGCATCGAAACACAGACATCATGCATCGAACTTCCACTGTAAAGCTTCTGGCGTTTGCCGTTAGTCTCTGATGTCTAGTGGTTAAACCTGATATATGATTCGTCTTGAGTATATCTAACGGGCGATCTTTGGTCTCATTAATCTGTAATTTGTTGCTTGGAAAATCGTATTTATAATTTAGGCTATTTTAACGTTGTATCCTGCCTTTCACATTTAAAAACAATCAAACTTTTGACGGAGTAAATTGGCTATATCTTTAAATATACAGCAAATTTGTCATAAAGATATTCCAAATGGCTAAAAAGTTTGTGTATTTCAGCAGAAATCTGAAATTGGTTATGCAAAATGTGTTGATGCTGTTTAGGCGAGTGACACTAGCAGAAAAGCAGATTATTTGTAATGGTTATGTTGAATCAATGTCAGGAAAGCAAGTAGAGACTCCATAACTGAATCCGATATTGCCATGAGAAGAGCCGATATGCAGACATCGTTTTATCTGCGCCTGAAGCACTTAATCACAAAATCCATCAGACGATGGCGACTGAGGTTGTTCATAAATAATAACTCGCTGATCTGAAATTGAATGTCCTGCTTTTTTTATCTGCTAAAATGAGGAAGAAAAGATATTTGATAAACATATTTGATGCACAGCATGTTCTGCTTGGAGCAATTTGAGATTTACAGTATCATTCAGTAATTCAGTATTGTTGAGATTTAAAGTTACACAAAGTGCAGCATTTCAGGAATATTAGTACGTATAGTAATTAGTATTAGTAGTTCATGTCTACCTTATGACTAATAGTATATTAGTCATAAGGTAGACATGAACGATCCAGATATTGTAAATATGATTTCAGAAAAAGCCCCATTGAATTCTTGTAGTGGGTGTAATTTAATTATTTGATTATTTGCTGAGTTATATTTACCTTTAAGAAAAAATAGCTTATAAATTTAATTATAACGTGATAAATCTCAGTCTTAAAGTCACATCATCACTGTTTTGTTGTTTGAAACCATGTTTCATGTGGCGACACTTCATTTAAGTGAACTGTTTTTATGCAAGTCATTAAAATAATCGAATTTGACATGACTAATAAACTCGTCTTAATAAGGCTACATGAATAAACACACTCACTTACCCTCTCAGACACACACACACTCGCTCGCTCACTTCCTCGCGCACACACACACTCGCTTGCTTGCACGCACGCATGCACACACTCACTCTAACACACCCACGCACGCACTCACTCACACACACAAATACCAGGAAATCTTTGGGTCATTGTTTAATTTGTTTAATTACCTTAAAGATAACCAATTTAGCTTATTTTCTGTAAACAAAAATCTTTTTCTGTATTAAAATCTGAAATCATAAAAAAAAAAATCAATAAACCAATACATATATGCATAGATTGTAGCCGCAGATGATATATGGGAGGTGTGGATGTAAAGATTAGGATGTGCATATTCCAAACCCTGCATTCTGATTGGCTGCTGTGTGTGACAGGCAGCTCTGGACACGCCCCCGCGCTGCGCCTGGTGATGTTGCATGTGCCCGAGTGCAGGCAGTTCTGAAAGCAGTTCCTGATAGAAGCTACTGCTCCGCTTCTACACTGGCAGAGAACGAGAGAGGGAGTGAGCGAGGGAGAGGGGAGAGCGAGTGAGCGAGAGAGAGAGGGAGAGAGAGAGATTTCTCCCCGTGCGCCGGGTCCACATTTGCACGATGGCATCAGATCCAGGGCTGCTGCCCCTCTTAGTGTGGACTATATCAATGCAGGTCCTGGGCTCCAGAGGAACGTCAAATAATGAAGGTAAGTGTGTGTGTGTCATACAGATGGGGATTTATGCTGTCTTGCTTTCAGATGTCAGGGTGATGCAAATTGGGAGACCGGGGCTAGTTGTCACAGCGTCTGTATCAGTAACTATAAGAATTCGACTTTAAAGTTAGTCTAACGTGTTTTATCCATTCCAATATCATTACATTGTACTTTTCTCTTTTTTCTCTACTTTTTTTGTATATTTCCACTGCTTTATTATTAAGAGTCCTTGAGTTGGTAGAAAGGCACTAAATAAAATAAACGTTATTATTATACATTTTTGTTACAGCTGTTAGATGAGCACAATAAAACAAGAGAAAAAACACATATAATTGAACATAATTCAAACTTTTGGCTCAAAAATGTTGTCAGGAGTCGGGGCTTTTCATTTTCAAGTTGTTTAAATGTTGTAATTTTTTATTCAGTGCAATTTATGATTGCCAGAAAGGTTGTTTGATATTTTTGAATGTTTCCTTTTCTAGTTTTGCATAATTTTTATTCTGCCTGGAAAGCATATAATAGGCTGTTTTCATTGTGACAACATGCCCCACTATCACCAAAAGTCAATGTGTGTATTTTCCCCCCGGCCAATAACGGTGTAGGCAAAAAATATTGACTTTCAAAGATAAACCTTATCTGGGGTTAAAAGCCCTGGTCATGCCCTGGAGTTAAACGTGTGACAACTAGCCCCGGTCTCCTCTTGATGATGCTTGGCCGTTAAATGCATTGGTACAAATGACAGGAAAACTTATGTGTGTGATAAAAATGATCATGCTTTTGGAAAGTGCACGTATTTCACAAAGTAAGTGTGTGTGTGTGTGTGGGCTGATCGGTTACTGTGAAAGAGGGAACACACTGCCTGTTCGGATCTGTCATTGTGATTGGACTGATCCCGCCAGTTTTCCGGAGTTCTGCCGGACTCATCGGTGCGATAACACACAGCGAGAGCATTTCTGAATCTCTTTAGTGTTTCTGATATAAATCTGCTATTATATCACTGACTATATCATGCTGTAAATCCTATATTTCTGAGCATCAGATTGGCAAAAAGACACTGTTGGGGTGATGAGGGTCTCGTCAGATCTAACATTAGATCATCACTGAGTCGTTCTCGTATGCACACACACACACACACACACACACTGGGCGATGTTTTCTTGCAAGCTCTGTCAGGCAATGTGGTAATTCCCTCGCATAACTCGCTCTTCTAAAAATCATGCATTTCTATTTGTCTAGATCAGAGGTTATCAAACTCATGGGCCCTCACCAGACTTTTGCTTCTCTGTTATTAACTTTCAGCAAGGCATGTCAATTTCTTTATATAACTACATTTACACATTTAATTCATCTCGTTTATTATAAAATATAATGTATTATAAATTAAAATATATGACAAATATATTTCTCTATTCTGTTGATTTTTTTTACATATGTAATTAATTTAATTTAATATAAAATATAATGTTATAAATTAAAATACATTACAAATATATTATAAATCATCCTATGAATTCTATTCTATTCCATTGATTTTCTTTACAAATATACAGTACATTTACATATTAAAGTAATCAAATTTATTAAAAAATATATTTTATAAATTAAAATATATTATAGTCATCCTATGAATTTCATGTATTCTATTATATTTATTTATTGTCTTTGCATGTGTACTTTATTACTTAAATTAATCTAATTTATTCTAAAAATGTTATAAATGAAAATATATTACAAATGCATTATACATTCGTCCTATAAATTCTATTCTATTCAAATGATTTTCTTTACAATCATACATTCACACATTAATCTAATTTCTTATAAAATATAGTATGTCATAAATAAAAATGTAAGAAAAATATATTATAAATTCATCCTATGAATTTTATTGTATTCTATTGATTTTCTTTACAATCATAGGTTTACGTATTAAATTATTCAAATTTCTTATAAAATATAGTATGCCATAAATAAAAATATATGAAAAATATATTATAAATTCATCCTATGTATTCTATTTTATTGATTGTCTTTGCATATGTACTTATTGAATTATTCTAATTTATTCTAAAAATGTTATAAATTAAAATATATTACAAATGCATTATACATTCGTCCTTTGAATTCTATTCTATTCGAATGATTTTCTTTACAATCACACATTTACACACTATATTTTTATAATAAAAAAATAGATTAATTTAATGTCATAAATAAAAATATATTATAAATTCATCCTATGAATTCTATTCTATTATATTGATTTTCTTTACAATCATACGTTTACAAATTAATCTAATTTCTTATAAAATATAATATGTAATAAATCAAAATATATGGAAAAACATATATTAAATTCATTCTAATTCTGATCTATTTTATTCTGTTGATTTTCTATAAACCTCAAAGGTTCTAATTCATAAACACTTGCACATCTGTAAATGTGTTTCATGTATTGAATCAGTATCAGTATTTGTGGATAAAGTGCAATATGAGCATTAAGTTGATGATTTGGAAAGAAACGGCTGTGTTTTACGTGTCCGTCCACACACGGGCAGGCATTATTAAAAACCCGTTGCATTCGTCAGGGGCTGATCTCTGTTTTGTTGTCATATCATATTTGTTTGCTGTGTGGACGGGAAGCATTTATGACCTCATGACCTCACCCAGTCTGTGTGTGTGTGTGTGTGTGTACGTGACTGCTTCTCATCTCAGGCTCAGGGTTTGCGTGTGGCCGAGGCTGTAGCTTGACACGCATGCTCCACTCAGACACTAAGTGAACACACGGTTTGCGTGATATTTCTGCCTCTCCAGTCACTGTCACAAACGGTTCAATACAGCGTGAAGCCCGCTGGGGTGAGAGAGAGAGAGGGAGAGCGAGCGAGTGAGGGAAAAACACTCTAGATGAGAGTTGTGCTCCCAAACAAGGAGACCGGGGCTAGTTTTCACACAGAGAAGTTGTCACAATAGCTTCATCTCAGACGTTTTTGCTTAGCAATGCAGCATTATATATTTGTCAAATCTGTCTGGTGAACAAGTTCCAAATATTTAATAGCTTTTTTTTTTATAGTCAAGACTTTACGGTTTGTTTTCGTATTATTACTTTCAGAAATAAACCTTCCCTGAAGAATATACTGTGACAACTTGCCCCGGTCTGCTTTATAGAAACAAACCTTTCAATCTCACCTTTAATTTAACAGCAGACACTTTCAAAAACATCTCGGTAGAAATTTGTTCTGAACGAGTTGCAGTGACAAAAGACAACAAGGCACCTATTTTTGAGCTTTCAATCGACGAGACGCATGTTTGAAATTCAGAATAACTGTGTTCTTGAATGCGACACTGCTCGGTGCATTACTGCTGATGCATTTGCTATTTTGTTGAATTGTTCCATTAACCTGCACAGAAGTCTTTTGAAAATCCTTGTTGAAAAAAACCTATAAAGTACTTTCGTGCGAGTGTGATTAAGCCGGAGTTTGTGTTGCATTGCATAAACATCCAAGAGATTTTCCTCCATTGTGTTGTTGTTCATATTCTCGTGTAAAAGATGAATCGTGTCGCCAGAGACGCTAAAACTCAATGTTTTTTTGGTCGTGATTAAAAAGGCATTGGAAAATGTTGACATGGAGTGCACTTACAGAGAGAGAGAGAAGTGTTTATGAAGTCAGAGAGAGCTCTATAATAATTGTAAGAGAAATTATACTTTGTTTTTTATGATCAGCCATGCAGTCAGACATACTGTACTCAAATATAATGGTAATGGATCATTTTGTGAAGACAATGTGAAGTGACGCATGAGTTTCTGCTCAAGTTTTTGGTTTTCTCTTTATTAATGTAATTTATTTTATTGTGTTATTTATTTGTTTTTTATTTTATTTTATTCAGATTGAGATATATCCAATTAATTTTAAAACCAAATTGCTGATGGCTTGAAGACAAGTGTAAAGACAAAAAAAAAATTATTAAGAGACAAAAAAAGTTTTGATAACACTTTACAACAATGTTTCATTTGTTAACTTTAGTGAACAATATTCGTTAAGATGAGCTTAAGAATGCTTCTATGGCATTTCATGTTAATTTCTACATAATTAAGAACAGAAGTTGTACAGTATCTGTTAACATTAAGCTCTGTAAACTAGTGAACTTAACTAACTTTTACAAAGGTTCATATATTGCTCATTCGCTTATACACTGTAAAAAATATTGTTGTAAGACAATTAAGGAGATTGATTTAATCATCAGAAACTCAAAATAGTATTTTAACTGAACTAAATAAATTATTTAAGTTGATTTGACAAAAGAAAAAAAAATGTTGTGATAACAAATCTTGAAAATATTTTTTTTACAGTGATGCATTAATTAGCTACTGTTAATAAATGAGACTTTATTGTAAAGTGTTACCAAATGAGAAATTAAACCAGTTTAGTCAGACAGTTTCTCAAAGACCCTTTGCATGTTGAAATGAATGAAATCTTGCTTGAAGAGTGAATTTTTTCCATGCATGTAATTGGCACCTTTCTGATGAGGAAAGATTAGCGTGAATGTTGTTTTGTGAGATATTAATGTTCACAGCTGTTTTTAAGTTTGTAAGAAATGCAAAAAGTTGTTGATTTTGTGCTTTTACAAACTGCAAAAAACTTATTTTAATACAGTCAAGTAACTGTTATAATATTTTATTCATATTTTTTATATTTTCTGTTTTCATTTTCAAAGTTTTTTTATTTCAATTTGTTTAATAGTTTATTTATTTTATTATACGCGTCTCACTGTAAAAAAATATTGTTGGTTTTAACTTAAAGTAAGTAACCTGGTTGCCTTAAAATTTTAAGTTGGTTGAACTGGAAAAAGTGAGTTAATACAATGAAGGAGATTAATTTAATTATCAGAAACTCAAAATAATAAGTTATCTGAACTAAATAAATTATTTAAGTTGATTTGACAAAAGAAAAAAATGTTGTGATTACTCTTGAAATTTTTTTTACCGTGTAGTTTTT